CAGACATTGCCAACACAGTTCAGCAAATACACAGTTCAAGCTGCTTCCTTGAACCTCTTGTCAGCAAAACGCCACACAAAAGTTACCAGCAGTTGACAGTATTTACCACAAAAAAAAAAAAAAAAGTGATAAAAACTCAGAAGTAACAATCCTGGTGAGGAGAAAATACAAGTTTTCTTGTATTTTCTAGTGTTTTGGGGAGACTCGTGAGAAGGGCCAGTTGGAGGTGAGCCCTCTTGTGACAATTAAACACCACAAAGGGTCATTTCTCCCCCGATCCCAAACCCCTCGACCTCACACTAACTGCTGGTCTAGACCACGTCTTGGAGGAGGAAAGCACTAATCAGTGTAATAGGCCAGTTCACCCTCAAACTGCAACTTAAACTGCCAAAATCATTACATGCTTGTTACAATTCATTCAAGCCTCAGACCGTAAAATTGATATAGAGGGGAATGGCGGCGTGGCAGGACCTACAGGTTCATAGTTCGGTTTTTCCACGCTTACCCTCCACAACTCTATGAGATTACAATGAATAAAGGGATTTGTTTTTTTAGAAGGGTGTACTCTTACTATTTCAAACTTAAATATATTCTGAATAAGAAATGGCTTTCCAGGCCTGGGCGTAGTGGCTCACGCCTATAATCCCAGCGCTTTTTTATTTTTATTTTTTGAGATGGAGTCTACCTCTGTCACCCAGGCTGGAGTGCAGTGGCGCCATCTCTGCTCACTGCAACCTCCACCTTCTGGGTTCAAGCAATTCTCCTGCCTCAGCCTCCTGAGTAGCTGGGATTACAGGCACACATCACCACGCCTGGCTGATTTTTTGTGCATAGTTTTAGTAGAGACAGAGTTTCATCGTGTTGGTCAGGCTGGTCTCGAACCCCTGACCTCTTAATCTGCCCACCTGAGCCTCCCAAAGTGCTGGGATTACAGGTGTAAGCCACCATGCCAGGCCCCCTATAAGCTTTTTCAAGTGCACTAGGCTCAACCCATGGGATTTCAGAAGCACAATAGCCCTAACACTGTTTTCCAAGGTAAAGATTGCTAAAAGGTGAGATGGAGAAGTATACAATTGATTCGAACAGTGTCCTCCAGATACAAACACAGTCCCAACATGCACCAGATATGAAATCTCTGTGCCAGAAACCAAGGTCACTGGCACCATGGAATCAAGAACCATTTTCTGTATGTAAAGTACTAGGTGCCTAGATCTGCCAGTAAGTATCTGCCAGTTTCCTAGCATAAGAATCAGCAAAAGTCAGGGATGACACAGCAGGAAAGACAGGGCGTTACACAGTGAGCCTTAACGAAGATCTCAGAGCTGCCGGGCACTAGCGAGGGCCACTTATTCTTTCTTACGACTTGAAGGTAATAAGAGGGGAGAGGAGATGGTTACTGAGCACTTACAACGGCAAAGCTGCTTGAAGCACCGAAGCACCTTCACATGCATTCACTCATGGTACCTGTTTAACTCCATGACAGTGATTATGAAATGTTTTGGATGGCTTTACACTCTTTTGAGATGGAGTTTTGCTCTTGTTGCCCAAGCTGGAGTGCAATGGTGCAATATTGTCTCACCACAGCCTCCACCTCCGGGGTTCAAGTGATTCTCCTGCCTCAGCCTCCTGAGTAGCTGGGATTACAGACATGCACCCCCAAGCCCAGCCAATTTTGTATTTTTAGTAGGGAAGGGGTTTCACAATGTTGGTCAGGCTGGTCTTGAACTCCCAATCTTGGGTGATCCACCTGTCAGTCCCAAAGACCTTTTTGTTTATGTGGGTTATATCCACTGATATTTACTCTATTTGAATTTAAAATGGATAAGATAGATATTAATATATTTTAAAACAATACAGCTTGGGCAACATAGTGAGGCTCCATTTCTTTCTTTTTTTTTTTTTTTGCCAGAGTCTCGCTCAATCGGGAAGCTGGAGTGTAGTGGTGCAATCTCAGCTCACTGTAACCTCCACCTCCCAGTTCAAGTGATTCTCCTGCCTCAGATTCCCAAGTAGCTGGGACTACAGGTATGCATCATTGCACCTAGCTAATTTTTGTGTTTTTACTAGAGATGAGGTTTCTCCATGTTGGCCAGGATGGTCTCGATCTCTTGACCTTGTGATCCACCTGCCTTGGCCTCCCAAAGTGCTGGGATTACAGGTGTGAGCCACCACGCCTGGCCTGCAAGGCTCCATTTCTACAAAAAATAAAAAATTCCATGGGCCCACTTGTTCACGCCTATAATCTCAGCACTTTGGGGGGACAAAGTGGAAAGATTGCATGAGTTCAGGAGTTCAAGACCAGCCAGGGCAACAAAGTAAGGCCTCATTTCTCCAAAACTCAAAAAATTACCTGGGTGTGATGGCACACACCTGTGCTCCCAGCTACATGAAAGGCCGAGGTAGGAGGATACCTTGAGTAAGCTGAGGCTGCAGTGAGCCATGCTTATGCCACTGCACTCTCCCCTGGGTGATAGAACAAGTCTTATCTCAAAAAAATTAAAATACAAAATTAGCTGGACATGGTGGCACTTGCCTATAGTCCCAGCTACTTGGGAAACTGGGGGAGAAGGATTACTGGAGCCCAGGAGGTTGAAGCTACTGTGAGCCGTGATCTCGCCACTGCACTCAGGTTGGATGACACAGAGACTCTGTCTCAAAATAAATAAATAAATAAAAATTTAAAAATAGTAAACCTACAACACATTAAACTTAACATTTTTATGACCAATAACCATATTTTCCAAAGCAAAATAAAAGAAAAATTGGTGAAAATCATGGCAGTGTTTTACAGTTTTGCAAATCTCCTAATATCTGGGCTTATCAAAGACAGTTGGACCTTCCTATCTGCATCTGTGTTCAATCTGCTGTGCTATCTTATCTTATGTAGACCGAAGAAAACGTCACTGTAGCCTTGTGAGAATGAGGATGAAATGGGGAAATTAATATCTTAGTATTAGTATAAAAATAGTTTTGACCTTGCAAACCTCCACTAAAAGTCTTGGGGACTCCTGGGGGTACACAGGCCACACTCAGAACCTCTGCCTTATGAGTTAGGAACCATTATCTCCATTTTCCAAATAGGGAAACTGAGACAGAGAGATCAAGGAATTGTCCAAGGCCATACTGCTGGAATAGCTCAGAGCAGATAAAGTGCAATGAGCATAACAGACTTAACCTCACTTGTTTGTTGCAAGGATTGAGCGAGATCATGAGTGAAAAGAGCTGGGCATCCTGCTTGCCTTATCACAAGTGCCCAATAACATTAATGTTTCCCGTTTGGCAAAAGCTCGTAGGAAAGCTGGAGAAACTTTCACATTTCTGATCAACTCATCACACATATGACACCGGCAAGAAAAAACAAAACCCCACCACAGGTGTTGTCCACAGGAGGAATTTTTTTCCTCATAGATCAGACCTTGGCGCAGGCCTCAGCATGAAGGCTGCCTTTGACGACTAAGAAATGCAGGGCCTTATTCCAGCCTCCGTTAGGCAAATGACACTGGTGGACTGGGCATTTGTCACCTTGTTCCTTGGGAAACCTGAGCAAGCCAAGAAAGCTGCTCCATTATTTACGGCATTGTTTTTGCATCATGCTGTATTTACAAAGAACCTGCAAGGGACAAAAACGACACCTCTAATGTGCACAGCCAAACTTTTCACAGGAACCAGCATCTGTGGTCTTGCTGGCCTGGTGCTCAGCACTCCAGGGCTCTCCTTGTTAATCAGCTTTCTTAGCCGACGTGGCCCACCATTCCTGCCTCCAGTGGACCCACAGAGTGCAGGTCACTTCCCTTCTGGGGATTTGGGAAATGGGCCCACACTTAGGGTAAGTGGGACTAGTGATGTTCAGACCACCGCACTCAAAAGGCTGTCCCTAAACAGCAGGCAAGAGCAAGAGGAGCCTGAACTACCGCTTCCACCCAAGTGCAGGTCACCAGATCTCTCACCAGCAGGGCTGCAACCGGCCTCAGATTCCAACCTGACCCTCTACCCTCTGTCCTTACACACCCCAATCCATTCTCCAACAACTACCAAAGGGATCTCTTAAAAGTGCCCAACAGGCCAGGCACGGTGGCTCATGCCCGTATCCAGCATTTTGGGAGACCGAGGCAGGCAGATCACCTGAGGTCAGGAGTTCAACACCAGCCTGACCAACATGGGGAAACATCGTCTCTACCAAAAGTTCAAAAATTAGCAGGAAGTGGTGGCACGCACCTGTAATCCCAGCTACTCAGGAGGCCGAGGCAGAAGACAAGAGAATCGCTTGAACCCAGGAGGTGGAGGTTGCAGTAAGCAGAGATCAAGGCACTGCACTCCAGACTGGGCAACAGAGTAAGATCTGACTCAAAAGAAAAAAAAAAGTGCACAATGGGTAAGGTCAGTTTTCTTGCAAGGATTCCCCTACTCAGTTGGAACAAAAACCAAACTCCTTACTTTGGGCTGTAAGAAACAGCCTCACCTGGCAGATGGCCACCTCCCCTCCCCTTTGCTCTCTAATCCACCTGCAGCGCCCCTCCAGGACCTCCAGCAGCTAGAATGTCACGTCCTTGAAGAGGCTTTGCCAAATCAAAAGTTGTCACTCACCCAGTTGTATTTGAGACTTCAGAGCGCTTCTTACTCTGGAAGTTTTCTTCATTTTACTTGTATATGGCATGCTTCCCTCCCTCCGCATCCCCCTCCTAGAAGGTAAGCTTCCTGGAGAGCAGGGGTTTCGCCTGGTCCCCCAAGGCATCCCCAGCACCCAGCAACGAGCCCGGCACAGACTACACGCCCGGCAACCGCGGATCGAATGAATGGAGCCGCAGCGGCGGGTTGCCGCAGGAATCCAGGGCAAGCGATCCTGGCGCCCCAGCGCCATCCGGGCAGCGGGGCCACCAGAGCGCGCGGTTCTGGGGGCCGGGAGGGACTCGGCCCGCACCCCGGCCCGGACGCCCCAGGTGCCTCCCCGGAGCGCGCGCGCCCCCTCTGCCCACCCGGCCCGGCGGTTTCCCCGCACTCACCATGGTGACCGTGCAGCCGCCACCCAGGCCGTGCGAGCAAGGAACGCTGGAGAAGCAAGGGCGAGAGGCGAGCGCAGGAGCTGGCGTGGCTGACAGGTGAGGCTTAGACCATGGCTGCTTCCCACAATGCCCTCGCGCTGAAAGTTTGCAGACTCCTCCCAGCGCGGCTGCCTCCTCCCCGTGCGCTCCTCCCCGCTCCCCCTCCTTCCTCTTCTTATACTTTCTTCCTTCTCCTTTCTCCTCCTCCTCCTCCTCCTTCTCTTCTTCCCTTCTCCTTTGGGCCTCTCCTGTACCCCCGACCCTGCCTTGGCGGCAGCTGTTCCCGCCCCTCGCCGGCCGCACTGGGGCGAATGCACCTGCGCGCGCTCCTCTGCACCCCGCCAGCCCGCAGCCCGGCGCAGGTGGGCAGGCGAGAGCGTGTGGCCAGCTAGAAACTCCCTGCGCGGAGAAGTCCGGGACCTTTCGCGATTCTGCCGCGCGAGTGTGTCCTGCATTCATTCCACAGACGTTCATCAGACCTGGCAACGATGCTTCCCGATACACTCGCAGAAAGCGTTGGAGGCTGTCTTATCCTGAGCCTCCTAGGGAGGGAGCAGTTGGCAGAGATGGAACCAGAAGCGATTTCTTATCCCCTCCCGCCCCCATTTCACTTTTTAAAATATAAACTCTGCATTCCAAAGGTAAAGATCATTTTAAGTAGGACCCCATTTAATTATTTATTTATTTAGAGACGGAGCCTCGCTCTGTCGCCCAGTCTGGAGTGCAGTGGCGCGATCTCTGCTCACTGCAACCACCGCCTCCTGCGTTCAGGGTGATCCACCTGCCTCGGTCTCCCAAAGTGCTGGGCAGCACGACCCTTTTAAGAGGGCTCTCCTAAGCTGTGGTGTAGAGGATTGGTTCTCTAATTTCTCTCCTCCCCTTGATTTTTCTTAAGTCTAGGGATATTACCTGGGGCACTGAGACTCTCTAAACCCCCAAATTGTAGGCAGAGGTTTTTTTCTTTTTTCTTTAAATTATATTTACCAGACAGACAGACTAGATGTAAGCAGAGTTTTGAATGCATCTTTATGGTTTTTTTTGAGAAAGGGAGTCCACTGGTTTTATCAAATAGCTAAAGAGATCCTAGATCCTACAAAAGTTAAGGATCATTTCCTGGGCCAAGCATGGTGGCTCACACCTGTAATCCCAGCACTTTGGGAGGCCAAGGTGGATAGATCGCTTAAGATCAGAAGTTCAAGACAAGCCTAGCCAACATGATGAAACCCCGTCTCTACTAAAAATACAAGAATTAGCTGGGCATGGTGGCACACACCTGTAGTCCCAGTTACTAGGGAGGCTGAGTCAGGAAAGAATCACTTGAACCCAGGAGGCAGAGGCTGCAATGAGCTGAAATCATCCAGCCTGGGCGACAGAGTGAGATTCAGTCTCAAAACAAAAACAAACAAACAAAAAAATGAATCATTTCCTGGGTGGTCCCTGGAACCCCAAATCAGTGAAAGCTCTTCCCAGAATCTGTTGTGTACCTTCCAAGGGATGTAAGCCCACCCAGGTGAATGAAAGTAAACAGAACCCCACCCACCCCTGCAATCACACTGCAAATATTCATCACTCCATGCCAGGCCCTATAGGAGGAGGGTGGGGAGCCCAGCTGGGAAAAAACGGGTGGTCTGTCTCCTGGAGCTTACAGTCTCGTGTGGGACAACACATAATAAACAAGTAAATAAAATGTAAGAAATTAAAATGAATGCTAAGAGGGAGATATTTGAGTTCCTGGGATGGGCACAGAGAAGCTATATTGATTTAGCTGAGTGGTCAGGTAAGTGCCCCTGGGGAGGTGACAGGGGACTTGGATGTGAGAAGCCAGTGCTCTGAAAAAAAAGAAGAAAAAAAAGTCCTTCTGGAAACACTTCAAAAAAGGCCTCTGTGTGAGTTAAGTTTGAGGAGGTCCAGAGGTGGGTAGGGGCCAGAGGCAATGAGTGTTCTCTAGTTAGGGCATCACTGCAAGCCCCCAGGAGAGCCACAGCCTCCAGACTCAAAGCTCTCAAACAATGGACTTGCGGCATTCTGCCTGGGGCATTGGAAGTTAAACCCCAGGTGATGGGGTGATTTTGGTTCCTGGAAGAAAAGTGAATCTAGGAGAACTGCTTTTTAACTTCTATATTCTCCCCGCAGGGTCTGTTCCTTCCCTATCTCGGGACTTCATGCTTTATCTAACTAGACAGAGTCTAATCTTTGTGCTTCTCCTCCTATCTAGGTAACTTCAAGGCAGGGCCCAGCTCTGTGCTACCATCCAGAGCCTTCTGCCCTAAGGGTTTCTTTGCTAGTGGGAAAGAGATGGAATCTCTAAAGGTGAAATTCAAAGCTAAAGAAATCTCAGGCCTGGCGCCATGGCTCATGTCTATAATCCCAGCACTTTGGGAGACTGAGGCGGGTGGATCACCTGAGGTCAGGTGTTTGAGACCAGCCTGGCCAACATGGTAAAACCCATCTCTATTAAAAATACAAAATTAGCCAGGTGTGGTGTCAGGTGCCTGTAATCCCAGCTACTCAGGGGGCTGAGGCAGGAGAATCACTTGAACCCTAGAGGCAGAGGTTGCAGTGAGCTGAGATCCCCACTGCACTCCAGCCTGGACAACAATGCCAGATGCTCTCAAAAAGAAAAAAAAAAAAAAGCTAAAGAAATTTTCTCAGTCCTCTTGCCATGACAGTTAAGTCAAATATTAGAGCAGGAGAGGCTAGGAGCGGTGGCTAACACCTATAATCCCAACATTGTGGGAGGCCAAGGCGGGTGGATCACCTGAGGTCAGGAGTTTGAGACCAGCCTGACTAACATGGTGAAACCCTGTCTCTACTAAAAACGAAAAATTAGGCAGGCATAGTGGCACATGCCTGTAATCCCAGCTGCTTGGGAGGCTGAGATAGGAGAATCACCTGAACCCGGAAGGTAGAAGTTCCAGTGAGCCAAGATTGCGCCATTGCACTCCAGCCTGGGCAATAGGAGTAAAACTCCATCTCAAAAAATAAAAACAAAGAAAGCAGGAGAAGTTTCCCTTACTGTGTGGCTCATGGTTGCAGAGGGTGTAATTAAAGATGTGGGGGTAGGGGGTGGCATTTAACTTAACAATTATTCATGTCCTTGGCCTTTCCTCCTGGCCTGGCTAAGATGGGCAGTGAATGCTCTCTGGGGCCTCTGCCACCCAGTATTCTTCCCTCCAGGTTCTCACACCACACCCCAAATCACCTGAAGAGGGAGGACTGCAGTGAGCTGGACACTTCACATGGGTTATTTTAGCTGCCCCCAAGACAATCTGTAAGAAAGGGAGCACTGTGGCCACGGTGTAGATGAGAACCTGAGGCTCAGAGGCTCAACAGCAATAATAATAAGAGGCAGGCTGGGCACAGTGGCTCCGGCTTGTGATCCCAGTGCTTTGGGAGGCCGAGGCAGGAGAATCACTTGAGGCCAGGGGTTTGAGATCAGCCTGGGCAACATGGGAAGACCCCATCTCTATTTTAAAAATAACAGTAATAATAAAATAAATAAGAAGCTAGTAAGAGGCAGGGATAAGCCTAGAATCAAGGCACTAAGATTCAAGTTGGTTCCCCTAAAGCCCTACCCCTGACAGACCTACTCAGAACACAACAGTGGCGGGTAAGCAGTGTTCTTTTGGTAACTCATTTGTCTCAAAAGAATGCCATGCATGTTTAAGTCTTGACTTCTCTTTTTTTAATTTATTTTTAAATTTTCTGTAGAGATAGGATCTCCTAGGCCTGGCACAGTGGCTCATTCCTGTAATCTCAGCTTTTTGGGAGGCCAAGGTGAGCAGATCATGAGGTCAGGAGTTCGAGACTAGCCTGACCAACATGGTGAAACCCCATTTCTACTAAAAATACAACAGTTAGCCAGACGTGGTGGCATGTGCCCGTAATCCCAGCTACTCAGGAGGCTGAGGCAGAAGAATCTCTTGAACCCAGGAGGTGGAGGTTGCAGTGAGCCAAGATTGCACCACTGCACTCCAGCCTGGGTGACAGAGTGAGACTCCCTCCCCAAAAAACAAAACTAAACAAAACTAAACTAAACTAAAAAAAAAGAGAGAGAGAGGATCTCACTATATTGCCCAGGTTGATCTCAAGAACCCCTGGCCTCACGGGATCCTCCTGTCTCAGCCTTCCAAAGTACTGGGATTATAAGTGTGGGCCCCCACACCCAGTCTTAGTCGTGACTTCTGTATCCCATCTTTGCTCCTGTTCAAACTCCTGACTCCACATCAGGCCCACCAATAGCAAAACCCTAGGGAGGACCCAGAGGCCCTATCACCTAAGATGTACCACTATAAGGAGGAGTTCCCTGGTCAGATTCTAAAGGGGCTTTTATATTCCTACTGCCATAGGAAGACAAGTACAATGTATTACCTGGTTCAGATTAGGTCGTTTATGAGCTGATGCGTGTGATTCTATGTGTGTACTCATCAAACAATGCCCTGGCATTCTGTCAGCTTGATTTAGGAGTTTCACTTCTCAGATCATTCTATATTTAAATATTAGCAGAAGATGTAGAGAGAATACAGTAAAAGCTACCATCAAGGCCACAGCAAGGGAAAAGAGTAAATTAGGGACATGATAATAAAGTAAAATAATAATGATCTATAAATCAAAATACTAACTTCCTAGAAATTGAGGAAGATCAAGCTATGAGTTTAAGGAAACTGAAGAAGCAAAGGAGAGGCCAACTTCAAAGTCAGCTCAGGCAGTGCCTTCACAGGCATTAATTGAAGGCCGGTCCTGCTGTTCTTTAATGCCCTTTTATTAATGTCTTAAGTAATCAACATCTCCAGTAATCCCTTCGGCAGCATTCAGGAATTCATCTTGTCATGGTGAAACTTTTAGTATGAGGCCTTATGCTCTTTAGAAACCCCCCTTACTTTTCAAAAGATGCCCTATTATTCCAAATGGAAAAAATCTACTTAACCTATTTCTAAAGAATATTTTCAGAATTTTTTTTTGAGACAGAGTCTCGCTTTGTCACCCAGGCTGGAGTGCAGTGGCGTGATCTCAGCTCACTGCAACCTTCGCTCCCCAGGTTCAAGTGATTCTCCTGCCTCAGCCTCCCAAGTAGCTGGGACTACAGGCGCCTGCCATCACACCA